GTGTGTGTGTGTGTGTGTGTGTGTGTGTGTGTGTGTGTGTAAAAGCCAAGGCTAACTTCTGGTGATGTTTCTCAGGTACAACATATCTTGTTGGTTTGTGTAGAGAGGACAAGGTCTCTCATTGGCCTGGAGCTCACGAAGCAGCCAGCAAGCTCCAGGGATCCGCCCGTGTCTGCCTCCCTGTGCCAGAATTGCAAGTGTACACCATTACAGCTGGCTTTTTTATATGGACTCTGAGGATTGAACTCCCCACCCCCTTATAGGTACTTTCCCTAAGCTAATCTGCAAACTGTGAGCACTGACAGCCAGTTCAGTTACCTTTCTGGGCACTGCTCTCCCCAGGGCAACTGCAGGGGTAGAGCAGAAAAGTCCAACGTTGACCCCAGGTGTGGCAAAAGAGGACTTGTCACTTGCCACAGCAATGTCACAGCTGGCAACAAGCTGGCAGCCGGCAGCTGTGGCCAAGCCATTGACCATGGCAATGATGGGGACTGGGTGGTTCCGTATCAGCATCATGACCTGTAGGACAAATACACCCATTTCATTTCCATGAAGTGTGAAGAGCCGTGTACCTGCCATGTTACATGACTGACCCCACAGAGCACATTTCTCATGCACTAGTTCATCAGCGTCTAGGCAGAAAGCACAAAACCATCAACTTGGAATATGTCTCCATGACAAAACAGACTTGTAGAGTTTGGGTTTTTGGAACCCCATTAGCAAACAGTCCTACTTAACAACAAGGACATGAAGCTGGGTGGGTGGAGAGTCATTCACTTAAGGCCAGAGCACGATGGGAAGTTGGTGGCAGTGGAGTCTGAGGCCATTTCCTCAAAGAGACAGCCCCTGGATAACAGTGGCAGTGGAGTCTGACTGAGCCCTTTGTGCCTCCTGCCTCCCCTGCCTCCCTTCCCCCAAGGAGAACTGAGGGATTTTGTTCATGGGGAGCAAGAAACCCCCTTCAAAAACTGTCGGTTCTCTGTACCCCTGGGCAGCCTTTGTGTTAAAAGTCTGAAATTGGCATTTGGTGCTTCCTGGGAAAATTAAGGTGGGAAGGGGACTTGAAGGCAATTTCCTTAGTAATTACTTCTCAAATTACCATGCAGCATAGCATACTCTCTCAATTCCATTAAAATGGGGAGGGAGGATACCCTACTGTCATAAAAATAAGCAAAATTCCTGAGACTGAGCCCTTGGCACAGAGAGGAGAGACAAAGCCATGTTCGTGTGACCCCTGCCACCATAAAGGGCCAGAGCTCCAACTTATATTTGAAGCTTATTTTTTTCATGACACTCTAAACAGATTGTGTTGCCATGGCAACTTCAATTTCTAAATTATTGCTCTTTGAACCTTGGCAAGTTGGGAGGGGAGACAGGAACTACATCTGGGCTTTTCCCCAAGGCAGCAATAGAAAGAAAACGACCTTCACAGATTTGAAGAGTTTTGCCTAGGAAACTGGTCTTTTATATTCATAAACATTTGATATTTATAAGCATTTCCCCCCTAAAATAACCAATTATATATCTAGGCATTATATAACGATGTTTCTGGTCAAGTACAAACTGTAATACAGCAGTGGTCCTGGAAGGTTATAATGGCTAGGATGGGGAACTAGCTCACTAGGTAAGTGCTTGCCTCACAAGTGTGTGGTCCTTGGTTCAATCCCCTGTAACACACACACACACACACACACACACACACACACACAGAGAGAGAGAGAGAGAGAGAGAGAGAGAGAGACAGAGACAGAGACAGAGCCTGGCATGGGGACCCATGCTTATAAGCCCAGCATTAGGGAGATGGAGACAGGAGGATCCCTGGGGATCACTGGCCAGATGGTTCTAGGGAGAGACGCTGTCTCAAAAGTGGTGGCTGGAGTTCCTGTGAATGGCATCTAGATTACAATGGGACTGATAATTCCTACCATCTCAGTGAGCACCCACCCTGACATTACAGTACAGTGTTGAGTATGAGTAGGTGCTGCTTGCTGCAAGTGGTATGAAGGTGCCGTAGTAGGGTGAAGCACAAGGCATAATCCTCAGTGATATGCACACCATGCGGCTGCTTCACGGCTTCCCTGTGATGGGGAATGTACTGTGTATGTTTATCTTATTGATTATTGAATAAAGTACTTGTTTGACCAATGAGGCAGCAAGTTAGACAGGACTAGGAGTCAAAGAGGATTCTGGGAAATGTAGTAGAGAAGTGGTGATCCAGGCAGGAAGTGACATAGCAAGGAGACTCATATTTAAGCAAGGAGAAACAGGAAGTGTCCCCCTTTCCCGTCTGCTCTTCCTCCAGCGGCCCAATGTGATCCACCAGCAAGAGAGGGTACCAAATGAAGGCATCCTCTATAAGATAAGTCTTATAAAATATATAGATTTATGATAATTAAGACTGAGCTAACAGATGAGAAATCCTGGTCATTGGCCAAGCAGCATTTGAACCTAATACAAATTTCTGTGTATTAATTTGGGCCCTAACTCAGGCGAGCGGCTGGCGTAAAGTACACATGTGGCGGTGGGGCTTGGTGGCTTTTGGCAGAAAGATTTATCGTAACATCCCTGGATTATATTCTGGTATTCGTGTGCTGAGGATGGAACCCAGGACCCTGTGAATATCATGGAGTCACGTCCCCAAACCTTCTTCTGTTATATTTTGAGACAAGTTCTCACCCAGTTGCCCAAGTTGGCTTCCAAACTCACTCTGTAGCCCACGGAGGCCTTGGATTTCTGCTCTCCCTGCCTCAGCCACCCAAGATTTTATGAATGTGCACTTTAAAAATAGTCACTGTAGAATATATTCCTTCTACTTATTAAAAAATGTTTCCTGGGAGACTGCATGCCATCTTATACTTATACTATATTGCTGCTGTCTCATGCAGCTTGTAGTGTCTGCCTGTGCGTGATTCAACTTTGTATAAAGTCTGCTTACTGCTGGATCGTGGTGGCACACACCTTTAATCCCAACACTTGGGAGGTAGAGGCGCATGGATCTATGTGAGTTCAAGGCCAGCCTTCTCTACAGAATGAGTCCCAGGACAGTCAGGGCTGTTATACAGAGAAACCCAGTCCAGAAAAAAAAAATCTATTTGCCATGTAGCCTAGGTGTAGAGCTGGCTGTGCCATTTACACATTATTAGTTTAGGTGTAGAGTAGGCTTCCCCCTCTATAGACCACGTGACCTGGTGTGGAGCAGGCTTTTGGGCTTTGCCATCTTATGTCACATATCCCTGGTGTAGAACAGACTCTCCATATGTATGCCCAAAGCTGGCTTTACCACCTTTAAGGAATGTAGCCAGGTTTGTGGAGCTGGCTGTTCCATCTATATACCACACAGTCTGGGGGTTATCAAATGGGTTTTACCATCTGTATGCCATGTAGTCTGAGTGGGGCAGGCTGTCCTATCTGTCCACTATGCATCTAGGTGTAGTGTAGACTATATTGTCAATGTTTGTGTAAGCACACTCTTGTTGACTGAATTACAAAACTATCTACCCATGCTATCTCTAAACCCATCGTCATCATTAAAGAATCCATACCTGCCTATGTTTTTAAGGGAATCCCATAATATTTGATAGTAGCTTTTTTGGCTTCAGGGAAGGTGGGGGTCATGTTTTAATTCTTTGATAAATGTTAACTACTATCTTCCCAGAAAAATGCACATATGTATAAAGGCATACAGAATTGTCTGTGAATATAACTGGTTCCTGCCTTTCACAGAGGCAGTGGGGGCAGGTTAGTGATGTGTCTCATTCCTAGAGAGTAATGAGAGGAAGAACTCACGACATCTAAAGTCTTGTTGCAAAGAAAGAAAAGGTTTTCCTTCCTTTTGAACATTGTTCTCTTATACCACTGATTCAGAAATCCTAATTGCAAGAGCTCTGAAATAGATAGTACTCTATGGTCAAACATGTTCACCAAATCATTACCTTACAGCAGAAGAAATGAGAAATGATCCAAGTGTACAAAAAGGAGTAAATAGGCAGTTAGTGAGATGGCTCAGGGAGTAAAGTGCTTGCCATGCTAGCCTGGTGACTTGAGTTCAATACCCAGAAACTATATAAAGGTGGAAGGAGAAAAGTGATTCCATAAAGGTGTCTTCTGACTTCCATGTTTGTGTCAAGGCATGAGTGCCCATACAGTCTCTGTCTCTGTCTCTGTCTCTCTCTCTCTCTCTCTCTCTCTCTCTCTCTCTCTCTCTCTCTCTCTCTCGTGTGTGTGTGCACCCCACACACTATAAAAACGATGATGATGATAATAATGACAACAATAATAAATAAAACAATTTTAAAAGTAGATGGTTACTATGGCTTGGGTGGATGTTCTCCCAAACTCCATACATTAAAGATTTCTCTCAGGGTGGTGTCATCAGAAGATGACTGAGCCAGCGGGAGTGTGGTCTTGTGGGAGGCTGTTAGTTCATTGGCACATTCCCTCAAAAGGAATTGGTGTGGAGCTGGAGAGATAGCTCAGCAGTTAGGAGCGATTGCTGCTCTTGCAGAGGACTAGGCTTCAATTCCCAGTACCCACTTAGTGGCTCACAAGCATCTGTATCTACAGTTCCACAGGCATGGATGCTCTCTTCTGACCTCCTCATACACGGCACACACATGGGCACTTATATACCTGAGGACAAAACACTCACACACATAAAATAAAAATAAATCTAAGGGCTGAAGAGATGGCTCAGAGGTTGACTGCTCTTCCAGAGGTCCTGAGTTCAATTCTCAGCAACCACATGGTGGCTCACAAACATCTGTAATGAGATCTGGTGCCCTCTACTGGCATGCAGGCAGACATTCAGGCAGAAAACTGTATACATAATAGATAAATAATTCTTTAGAAAAGGAAATGCTGAAATAAATTAATGTTAAAAAATGTATAAGGGACCGGGCATTGGTGGCACACACCTTTAATCCCAGCACTTGGGAGGCAGAGGCAGGCAGATCTCTGTGAGTTCGAGGCCAGCCTGGTCTCCAGAGCAAGTGCCAAAATAGGCCCCAAAGCCACAGAGAAACCCTGTCTCGAAAAACCAGAAAAAAAAAATGTAAAGGGATTATATCTCTTTTCTGTCTGCTTCCTGATTAGTGATTTAAGTAGGTTATTATTTTTGTTTTTTGTTGTTGTTGCTGTTGTTGTTGTTGTTGTTGTTTTTGACATGCAAGTCCTGCCATTGTCATCTGGCACCATCAACAAGCTCAAAACCAAGAGTTACAGATCTTTGCTTGTTTGTTTGAGACAGGGTTTCTTTATGATTCCCTGGCTGTCCTGGAACTCACTCTGTAGACCAGGCTGGTCTCAAACTCAGAGAGATCCACCTGCCTCTGCCTCCTGAGTGCTGGGATTAAAAGCATGTGCCACAATGCCCTGCCCCAAGCTACCAAATCTTAAATTTGAATGTCAAAACCCATTTTTATAATATAAATTCATTGCCTCAGTTATTTCTTTATAGCAATGTGGAACTGACAAACACAATGGCTACGTATACTGAATTATAGCTACTTAGTAACTGCAGCATTTTCAATGAAATGAAAATTTCTAAGGAGGAAAACAAAACATTTGGGTGGTTTAGAGCTTATATAGTGATATGGAGCAAGCCTGCTAGGATTTGATACCCTGCCTGTCACTCACTTACTATCAAGTAACTCAGATCAAGTCACATGATCCTTCAGTTTTCACAACACTAAAGATGGGTATAATATCAGACCTAATCTAACACAACACAATGGTTACATACATTAGCAATAGCTTAATACTAAGCATTAAGTCATTATCATGTAATATGTACATGATTATATATATATATATATATATATATCATACCTATATAAGAACATTCAAACAATTACGTTCTTGGAGAAATCACTAAAAGTAAATATAGCAAAATATTACACTCTTTTCTGGGTTGGTGTGAGTATCTTTTGTTATTTAAATTTTTTAAATCTTCTATAATAAATACTTATTTTCATTGATCAAAATAGTTTAAATCAATTCAGAGCATAGTTCAGAAAAAGACAAAGGAGCTTAGATAAAGAATTATCTAAGCCAGGGTAATCCACCCCATGGGAGTCAAGAACTGATGTCATCTTTCCAATCTTCCTGAATTAAGCACTGTTTTGAGTTCTGCCTACTGGAATCCATTCAGTGGCATCCACTGAACTCTGCCCTAGCCTCATATACTGGCATAACTGAGGGTCTACATTGTTTTCTTTTTGTTTCCCCACATTATTTTCTAATCCAATCCACTCTTGTTTCAATGGTGAGAAGTTTGGAGAAAAGGAACAGTCTTCAGGAAAGACACTCTAGCTGTCAATGTGTTGGAAGAAGAGAGACAAGAAATGGGTCTCTAGGCTGTCATGTTGGCACCCAGAAGTCACTTAAGCTCGTCTATAACTAGTTCTTCACTTATTCAGTTTGTCCCCTAATTGGTAAACAATTGACTGTCAGGTAAAACTTTGGGTCTGTAACAAACGTGCTCCAGGTTGGTGAGGCCAAGCTAAGGCAGATTTCCATCTGCCTTTTAGAATCCTGTACATGAACTAACCAGTGCAGCTTTAGCTCATTTTGCTCTAGTCTGCTCTCTGATTACACCAGGAAACTGAAATTTTACAAAGTTCCTGCTGTCCACATTTGTTCAAGACGGCTTGAGTTTCATAGAATTAGTGTTAAAGACTAGCACTCAGGGCTAGAGTGATGGCTCAGTGGCTAAAAGCTTGAGTTGCTCTTCCAGAGTTCAGTTCCCAGCACCCATGTTGGGTGGCTCACACTGCTTGTAACTCCACTTCCAGAGGATCCAATGCCTCTGGTTTCTGTGGACACCTGCAACCATGGGCACATGCCTACTCCATACACATATACATATTAAAAATAATTAAAGGGAATCTTCAAAAGAACCAATAGCCTTGCATTCTTGATGTCTAGGACTAAGTCTTATTTATATACTGAATCTTTTCTGATGAGCCAGAGGCAAGGCTAGGCTAGAAGCTTCCAAGAAACCAGTCCTTTACCTCCCGAAGAAGCCCAAACTGCCATGTAGCCCTCTGCTAACCCACTCAAGTCTCTGTTCACCCAGACATTGCAGCAGACTGATAAAAAGCAGGTGCTTTTGGAAACTTCAAGGGTATATTGGTGCTTTTAGATATTTTTATATTTTAGCCAAATATACTGGGAATTTGTAGAAAATAATTTTTTCTCAGTGTGGTAGACTGAACGCAGGCCCTTATGCATGATAGCTAGATGCTCTACAACTGAGTTCCACCCCTAGTGGGAAAATGATTTTGGAAGCATCAAACACTGGCAAACCAAATAGGATTCTGTGCAAACATTGCTAATGTATGAAACAAAAGATCCAAATCGTGTGATGCACTTATAATCCCAGTATCTGGGTGGTGGAGGCAGGAAGATCAGGAATTCAATACAAGCCATAGCTATATAACAACTTCAGGGCCAGCCTGAGCTACTTGTGACCCTGTTTCTAAAACAATCAACACCCTAAGTCCTACCTCTAGTTTGTTTTACTCCTCCGTAAAACTGAAAGCAAATTACTTTTTCTCTTTGTCCTCCCATGAAAGGAGAAATGATAATCTGATCAGTTTATGGCTGTTTTTTTTTTTTGAATGGCAAAGGGAATAAATTGTGCTCAAGAATGTACCTGAATGGTGGGGGAGATGGGCCAGTCAAGCACGAGGACCCTGAATGCACCTGCAATCCCAGCGCTGAGGAGGCAGAGACTGGAGGCCCCGGACTATGCTCACTGGTCAGCCAGTCTAGCCTAATCCCTGAGCTTTAGCGTCACTGAAAGACCAATCTCAAAACACAAGCAGTTGAGGAAGACATTTGATGTCAGCTTCGGACCGCCAAATAAAATCAATGAGGTTAATTTTCTTCTTTGGAGGTGATATTTAGAAGGGTTAGCTAAAAATTTAGAAGCATTATAGTTATTTCTATTTATGAATTCTCTCTTTTCCACTGACAATATTGGGGTTGTTTTTGGTATTGTTGTTGTTGTTGTTGTTGTTGTTGGTGGTGGTGGTGGTGGTGGTTGTGTGTGTGTGTGTGTGTGTGTGTGTGTGTGTGTGTATGTGCGCACGCAGAGGCCAGAGGAGATTGTTCTGCTCTATCAGTCTGTCCCACTCCCTTAAACCCGAACCCAGAACTCACTGGATTTTGGCTACTCTGGCAACAGCAAACCTTCAGGGGTCCTCTATCGGCATCCCCCCCCAGATGTGTGTGGCCTTGACCAGTTTTTCACATGGATGCTGGGAGTCCAAGTGCTCTCACCACCGAGTCATCTCTCTAGCCCCCATGGTCACTTCTTAGAAGTCGAAACCAGTGGTTCTCAACCTTCCTAGTGCTGCAACCCTTCAGTACAGTTCCTCGTGTTGTGGTGACCCAAACCATAAAATTATTTTTGTCTCTACTTCATAACTGCAATTTTGCTACTGTTATGAGTCTCAATGTAAATGTCTGATATGCAGGATATCTGAGATGCCACCTCTGTGAAAGAGTCGTTTAGCCTCAAAGGGTTCACAACTCACAGGTTGAGAACTGCTGGTGCAAACCAAATAATTGCTTGGATAAAGAACTCACTAATAACTACAGAGCTTCTGATAGCCATTCTCTGGAGCAGGCCCCATGGATAGACTCTTATATGAAACTTCTGCTACCTCAGTATTTAATACAACAATGGTGTTCATGCTTACAATGCTGGCTTTCACCTTAGCTTACCTCAGAACAGGTTTGAAATACTTCAGTGTGATAATCACGGCCTTGTGCATCTGTCAGCTCCTTCAAATCATGCCCAGAAGAAAACACAGGGCCCTCAGCTGTGAGCGTTTCCAGTTGAGAAAAGAAGAAAAAAAGCCAACAGTGAGGGGCGGCAAATGGCAAGTGCAGTGACACAGGAAGGCTCCGGGATCAGTGCTTTTATGAAGCTCTGTCTGGTCTGATGACTGTATTGTTGCTCTCAATCTGGCCTAAGTTTATTGACTTGTGCAGGTCCTTTGAAATCTGCCATGCCGTAAGCAATGCCCCAATCATCCAGAGTGGGTCAGAGTGTGAACAGAAACATGGGAGCCACCTGGCTCCAGCTCTTGATTTTACATAGAGGAGCTGAGGATGTGGCTGCCATCATTATCCTTAACAACAAAGTGTCACTCCACTGATAAGCTGAGGACATTTCCTGCCATCTCCCTTGTGACAGGCAATGTTAGCCTGTTTTTACAAGTGAGAAAGTGTTGTCATTAAGAAGTTAGCGGGCCTTTCTGCAGTGTCCAGGTTACACCTCATATGCCTGCTGCAAGCTGCTAATTTGAATCTCTTTTCCCTTCACCATAGGAAACAGTTGAAAATTCCTTTTTGGCCATTCCTAAGAAGGTAGCTCAGAGTATCTCAGCAAATTCTGATGCTTAAGCAAACAAAGTATCAGCAAATAGTGTCTGTTGTATTTTTCTGGGCATGCATGATGCTGATGGTATGATTTTTTATTATGCCATGGCAGTATGTATGAAGCGGTGATTTTATCTTTTCAAGAATTTATTTTTAATTATGTGTCTGTATGTGGGTGTGTGCATGTGAGTGCAGGTACCTTTGGAGCCCAGAGGCATTGGGTCTCCTGGAGCTGGAGTTATGGGGTGGCTGTGAGCCACCCAACATGAGTGCTGGGAATCAAACTCAGGTCTACTGCAAGAGCAGTAATTGCTTTTAATCTCTAGGCCACCTCTCCAGCTCCAAAGTTATAATCTATAAAAATTTCTACTAGAGGGGCTACAGAAATGGTTCAGCAGTTAAGATCACTGGCTGTTCTTCCACAGGACTTGGATTTGAATCTCTGCACCCACATGGCAGCTCACAACCTTCTGTCATGCTAGTTCGAGAGGATCTGATACCCTCTTCTTCCTCTGCAGCACCCAGGCATGCAAGTGGTGCAGACACGCATGCAGGCAAACTTCTGTACACATTAGGAGAAAAATCCTATTGGAAAAAGGAAGAGAAGAAATGGACAAAATCTGGCATACTTTTTGGCACCATTAAAAATGATACTACGTATTTAGATATGAGCAAGATTTAGCAAACAGAAGAGACAAACCAATCATTTGTCCCATCAGCCTGTCTGCTAGTTGCTCCCCATATCTGGGATTATAGGTTTGCAATACCAAGCCCAGATTTTTATGTGGGCTTGGCATTTGTAATGCCAAGGGCTTTACCAGTGGAGCCACATTCTCAGCCTCCAGATTGTCTGATTTTGATGACAAGGAGAAGCCATGATTTCACTGAACAAAGGCCTTTGCCTCAGTCCCCACAGCTAACAAGGACCGAGCCCACAGCATCACAGAAGTTTTCAGTTCTTCAAAGGGGGTCAGGGTCCAGTGAAGTGAGGAGAGGGAGTCCCAGCTTACAACACATTTTGAGAAACCTCACATGGGCACCATGGGCCACTAACAACAGGCTTCAGAGAAATACCTGCAATTATAATGACTTTCAGGTCTTTGCTTTCAGCTTCATGAAGAATGTCACTTCGGAGAGATTTCAGCATGGCCAGTGACAGCGCGTTCCTCTTCTTGGGATTGCTTAAGACAATGTTCCTGCGAAAAGCATTTGATAGTCCCCGGGTCATGAACCAGTCAAAACAAGCGAGGACCCCTGCAATTCCTTTCTAATTTAGGAGCAATTTTGAAACTCAGGAATAGAGAACTGCCAGGGCTTGGTGCCAATTTAGAGGGTCTGTCAGCGCTCTGGAGTGACAGCTGAGTCAAAACAAGGAAAAAAGATGACCCGAAAGGTAGGCTAGCCTTTTCTCTCTGCTTCCTTGATTTGTTTTTGCTCTTTTTTTCCCCTCTCCCCACATGTGCTGTCAGAAACATGACTGCCACCTCCACAGCAAGGGTGAGTCACAACAGTGCCCAAATCATCTCTGCCCACAGAGGATATGAGTTTCAGGTGACAGTGGCAGGGCTAGGTGAATCCACAAACAGGTTCTACCCGGAACTTATTTCCAGGTGGTGTTCTTTAGAATGAGGTTAGGAAAGGAGCCAAGGATGAAAGTCCCCCCCTCCCCGTCTCCGCCTACCCACCCCAAAGAAAAGGCAATGGAGGCTGGCTGCCAGTGTGCACATACTTCGGCATTTGTAAGGGTTTCTAGCAGGGTAAGTCTGCAGGATAATTTGTGCAGTCTGAGAACAGATGATATACAAAGAGCAGACGGACAAATCCACACAACAGACGTAGCATCTCGAAAAGAGCCCGCACCCAAAGGGCCTCTTTGCTATTTTAAAATCGCCCACATTCAGAATAAAACAACCTGTATTGTCATCTTACTGCCTTACACAGAAGTGTCTTATTTTATTGTTGTCCTAAGAAATGGGCACTGAACCAAACCAGATTCTCATTACACGCTTATATTTCCTATCAGTCTCCACCCACACATGCTCTAAGCCTTCTTCATTCTTTTCTGAATATGGTATTTTATTGGGACATGGTCAATTGGATGCTCCATAAATAACATTTAGAAGAATTTTTTTAAAAAACAACTTTGATGACTGAATTTATCTCAGCACAATAAGAATAATCATTCCTTTTGGGATATCATTTCAGTTTTGCTGCAGCTTCCAGGTACCTGTGGGATTGTTTTGTTTCTCACAATCATCCTCTCTCCTAAGTACAGGAATTACATGCAGCTGATGATCTGATACTTAGACACCTTTATCTGGGGAAGCGGTGGAAACTGCTTGTAACCCTTCAGTAGAATCACGACTGTGCTCATGGTGGCAAACATAAAACAATGTCACCCCAAGGCTGGGGAGATGGCTTAGTCAAGTTCTTGCTTTGCAAGCATGAGTTCCATTTCTAGAACTATCTTTTTTTTTTTTTCCTGGCGGGTCATTTGACATGTACTTTAATTCCTAATGCTGGGGAGCTAGAGACAGACAGACTTTGGAAACCCTTTTCAAAAGAAAAGGTGGGCAGCATGGGAGGAATGACACCCAAGTTGGTCTTCCAGCTTCTACATACACATGCAACTGTATACACATGGCCATGTGCCTGTGAGGGTACATGCACACACAAAAGCTGCCACCCCAGCATTTGCATCAGTTTAAATTAAATTCTAAGGCCTTGGGCAAAACTGCACAGAAAGGTTCCAGCCCAAGCGGAAGCTTGCTGTTTGGTGGTGTTTGTTTCATGTGAATCCCATCAATCCTCCCAGACACACGGTCTGACAGCTCTCACTTGCAGCCCCGTGTGCAGATTCCTTTTCGCACCAGTCCACTGACACCCTTCTCAGTGGTCATCTCTGATTGTCAGGACACATGCATGGGCCACCTGCACCCCCCTCCCCTCTTGGGAACAGTCTTCTCTGCAGAGGGGTTTACTCTTCTCTAGTCTCTTCTTGCCTTCTTTTACGGGGGCCCTGTGTTCTGGCAGGAGACACTCATTTTCATCCCTTGCCCTCTCTTTGTTCCATGCACATTGCCCAGGCAACTTCACTGGTGGCCATGACATCACTGCTCCCTCCTTGCTGACATCTACCAGTCATCCGTCCTAGTTCCAGCCTCTCTCCAGAGCCCCAGATCTGTATGTTCATTGTGATGTTCACTGGATAGCTCCATCGAGGTGTGCATTGGGCATTTTCCTCTCCCAACTCACCCCTCTCTGAGCTGCTGCTCAGCCACCCAAGCTGGAGCCTGAAAGACATTTTATATTGCTATGCAGTTCTCCCTTATTTCACAGGACATCAAAACTCCTAGGCCTCGGCTGACCTGTCACATGCCAAGAGCCCTCATCCAGTGGCTGATGGAGACAGACATCCGCAGATATACTCTGAACTGAACTCTGGAACTTAGTTGAAGAGAGTGAGGAATGAAGATAGAAGGGGTCGGTACCAGGTTGGAGAAACCCATAGAAACAGCTGTCCTGAACAAGGAAGGGGGAACATATTGACCCCAGATGCTGTCTGGGAGGCCAGTACAGGACTGATCCTGGTTGGGGGCCCTCCCCTGCCTGGGGAGTGGAGGGTGGATGGGGTGGGGGGGTAGGTTGGGGATGGGGGAAGAGAGATGGGGGTGAGGGGAGGGAGAGGGAGAAGGGATTGACATGTGAAACAAGCTTGTTCCTAATTTGATCTAATAAAAAATGCATACTTAAAAAAAAAAAAAAACTCCTAGGCCTCTCATCAATTTCAGCCCTCTCCATGACTATTTTAGTTCCAAGTGTGGAATGCCTTAAGCTGACAGTTTCAGCTATGTGCTCCCCTTTCCCCTAAGGAAAAACTTCTTTCTGATGAGTTTTCTCCCAGGGCGACATGTGTACAGGTAAAATCTGGTCTCGATAAATGCTCCAACGAGATATCTGAAGCTCATCATTGTAAATACCAGTTATTTTTTATTTTCATGGCTAATTCTACTGAATGTATTGGACTGGAGTGGTCTCACAGGCCCACTCTACCATGATGGCAAATGAGTGGAAACAACTTGGTAGGCAGAGGGGATCTCTTTCATGCTCCTGGCTCACCTACCTCCTGACAGCCATCTCTGCACTTGACTCCTGTGTGTGAAGAGGGGTGATATCCATCCTGCATGTCATTGTGCCATTTAGAAACAATTCAGAGTGCCTGACACAGCACCCATTTTATAGTTGACCCTCATGGTATGCAGTGTTATTGCTCTGAGGCACAGCTTTGAAATGGGACCATTGAAGTGACAGAGTTGCACAAGCCCACCTGCTTAGTACTTAACATAGCACTGCTTTAATACCTGACTCAGGGAGAATCTTAATATATGATCCCTATAGTTTACAATCAAGTGGTCTCATCATTCTCCCTTTCCAGTTCCCCATTCATGTTTAATTTTTCAGGATTCAGTCTCCTATCTTGCCAGAATTTATAATCAGGTATGACCAGACTTTGTTTTGAGGGGGAAGAGGTGATTGGTCTTACTATGTAGCCCAGGCTGGCCTTGAACTTGCTATGAAGTCCTGGAAGGCTTTGAATTCAGGATCATCCTGCTTCAGCCCCCACAATGGCGGGATTACAAGCCTATGATATCACACCCAGATTATGATCGTATTTTCAGAAGCAGAGCCATTCCTTAAAACTGGAAAGAAAGGCCCCAATGAGAGCTCTACACTTCAGAGCCCACCTCTGGCTTTCTTTGGGAGTGCCTAGCCCCTGTGGTGTCCACCTGTAGGGAGTTAGGGGACAGACAGATATGGGCACCTCGCACCAGCATCTGCAGACCTGTGTGCTAAGTCTCTTTAAGGCAGTAAGGGTAGAGAGGTATAGGAGATGAAGGGGAGATGTGGAAGAAGATGGGGCCAGAGACTGGCTCTCCATCCTTTTGGGGAACACCTACGTGTATGGGTGAGGATTAAAAAGTTAAACACCATCTTCTAGGATTAAGAAGGGCTATTTACCAGAGTTGGAAAATATAACACTTAATCATCTGTAACTCTTGAGCATGGAAGCCTATCTCCTTTCCTAGCCTTGTCCTGGCCAGGCAAACGGTCATGCCTGAAAGGGTCTTCGTTACTCCACGTTCTAGGTTGTGCACTGATTTCTTTTTGAGGCTTTTAGGTTTGTTGCATAAAAAGGGCAGGGAGCAGGGTGTTGTGCCCTTTACCCCACTTAATGACCTACCCCACCCTGCGTTTTAGCATTCGCTAATCCTGGAGCCTGCAGAAGTTTGTAAGGACCATGGATCTCTTTTGTGATGGGCTTTCTTGGAGACCATAGCAACTGTGGGTGGGGTGCTTACGCTGCCCACACCAGAAGACATGTTCAGAAATGACTGGGCGATTGGGCACAGTAGCCCTGAGGGTTCAGGGGGCCACCAGGCAGTTCCTCTACAACCCTCACAGGTGCATCGCACTAGTGTGCACAGGGAAGGGACACCTGTTAACCCAGTATGCAAGGATTCCTCCACCAAATATTTCATCTTCTTGAGATGAAATCTAAAAGACAAGCAGTGACTGATAACTCAGGGTTACTGGCGGTGAGGCCTGTTTTTCCCTGGTTCCCAGCTCCAGGGAGAGAGTCGTGGCACTGCCGGCCGGCTGACCTGATTCCGTCCTGCTGTCGCATGCTAGTGGGCCGTGGCTCCGACTCCGGCCGAGCGGTCACTGCTGACCCCGGGCTGCAGAAGCCAGCGGAGAAAGGGGCCCACCGGCTGCGCCAGAGCCAGCTGGTGCCCTGCACCCCAAAGGCCCGGCAGCCGGCGACCATGGCCATTGCAGTCAAACAGCAGCAACGTCGACAGTGCAGGAGGCCTAGGCCTCGAGTTTTCACTTTCCGACCTGATCACTCAGAGTCTCGCCCCCGGGGCCCCGCCCCCAAAGTCCTGCCACACCCCCCCC